CATTCATTCTCTCACCACCCATTCACAATTGATCACAGCCTAAGAATGTAACCCCAAATGAGGTGGATGAAAAATGAAATATTCAGTCAGACGCTTTCTGGAAGTTTCCAAATATCCAGATGTTAATGTCATATAGCCCAAACATTTGAGACAACTGATGCTTTGCCTTTCTCCAGAATACTCTGATTGAGGATAGCCTTAAAAGAGACAATTGCCTCCCTCATTTGGAGAATATTTGCACAGACACACACATGCAAAAAAGTTATTTATATACATATTTCTATATGTATATTAATACAAATCTGGTGATGTTTTAAATATACATTCACCCTCTACCAAAAATATACACTGTAAAATATAATTAAATATTTTAATATTGATGACTAAGTATCTTGACTTTCTTGAAATTAATCCTACTGTTTGCTTTTTTTTTTTTTTTTTTTGGCAGCTGGCTGAAACACGAATTTGAATCCTTGACCTTCATGTTATCAACACTGTGCTCTAGCTAACTGAACTAACCAGCCAGCCTTAACCCTATTTTAGAACTCAGAATCAATAAATGTCCTATTGGCAACAAATAGAAAACCAAAGACTGCCTACCATTCTCTGAGAAAACTAATTCAAAGGAATCATTTGCTTCTATTTTTACATGAGGAGATTAAATCTTCTCCCCTTGTTATTAGAGGAAGTTTTTTAAGATATGAACATTCAGCATCTTGTATAGTCCATATAGAATTTAACTGCTGATTCAACTAAAACTGGAGCAGAAATGTTGCCCTTGTCGGTACAAGATAACCTTGTATTACGCCCTCCCCATTCATCATTTCTGGTTTTAAATGTAGATTATATACATGCATCCTCCAATATGTAGAATGTATAAAATCATTTTATAAGATGCAGTTTTTAACCTTGCTGCAGGTACATTCCTACTTATGAAGTAACTCATTTAAATAGAAAAAAAATGATGAAAACCTAAACCTGTTAAGAATAGAGTGGGGTAATTCTGTTAAAAACAACATACCATTTATTCTATAAAGGCACAAAGAGAAAAAATAAGAACACCGATACATCCCCTTTCAAGCTAGAAAGAAGAAAGACCAAACACAGAGAATGCAAGAAGTGGGAGGGAAGGGAGAGAGTACTTTATCATCATTAACATTCCTAAATATCAACTTCATTTTGGTACATTTTGGATCAAAATAATTACACACATATTACCTTTTATTTCGCCAAAGTTCCCTGATCCCATTGCAAGAAGCTTGTCTTTCCAGTCCTTTGAGAGTAGTTTTTCAATGCTGGGAGTTTCTAAGAAAAAAAAAAAATGCAGGCAAATCAACATGACTATCTTTACAATGGAGCTCATTAAAAAGTCTATCTGGTAAAAATAAGGCCATCCCTACACTGGCCCCAGTTTATAATGACTTCATCAACAAACTGATAACAGGGAAGGAAAAAAAGAATGTGTTTTGTCACCTGCTGTTTCAAAATCATTAGCTTTTTCCTCTTGCAGAACAAAACCATACTAATTCTTTGTGACAATGGGTACACATAAACCTGCAGTTCATTGTTTTTCAATTTGGTGAACAAATTCTTGTTATAATGGATGCTTGTCAATTTCAGGGTGTTAGTGTGCAGTCAAAAAATAATAATGTTGATAAAATGTTGAGTTAAAAAAAAGGCAAAGAATTAGCTCTTAAATCTGTAATGTAATGTAATTATATCCCTCTGTGTGTTTACAATTACATCCACTTTATAATATGTGTTTCACATCGTGTGGTGGTAAGCACACTGTGGCAAGATTTGCCAGTACTGCGAATGTTTAAAAAAAAAAAAAAGTTGGTATAAAAGATGTTTTTAAAAGATTGCAAAATCTAGAGAAGTGAGTAATGCCTATAATGGAAACCTATTATTTGCTTATTTTCAGATTTGTATCGCACTCTTAAAATGCCCTGTATTAGGACAGGGCACACACATTTTAGAGAGCAAGATGATGCTTTAGTCTGGTATTTGTTTCTATATATCCCATGTTTTTTGACCTCGCCTTTTGTGTTGAATTTTAATGTATAAGTAAATATAAATGCTAATAAAACTCCCAAACATTAAACTCAGTTCCAAACAATGTAATTGTATATTCGTGTCAGCATTTAGATGGGTACACAATTACAATGGCTTTCAATCCCAAGATTAGCATTGCATTCAGTTAGAAAATGGAGTGTACTAAAAGATAAGTGTCCCAGTATGCTCCATCTAAATAACAATGCCCATACTTATTATCTAGATCTAAGACATACACAGCCATTCTCCACATTGGTGTTTATGTGTATTTGTATTTGTTCAGGCATTTGTTTACCCCCTACTAGGAGCATAAAGGGAGTACATGTTAACTTATCAAAGGGACCGTCTGGCCTAGAGACCGTAAGATTATTAGAAACTGGTTAATTTTCCCCACAGTAAAAGGCATTTTAAAGCGTCTTCATCATTATCTTTAGCTAATGCTATCTACTTTTTTTGAGGCTCCCATCCTACAGCCATTAGTTATCTATCCAGAGTCACAAAGCCTGCGTCGAGTTTTCAACAAAGCAGAGGTACAATTTTCCTTGGAAAAATTTTAACAACATGGGATACTTCTTCCTCAGATGTCAGAAACTTGTGGAAAATAAAATGGTGAAAAGCTCTGAATGATTATTCTGTTACAATCTCTATACATATGGTACAAATATATATACACATACCGCAACTACTATGTTCAGATTTAGCTACAGAATGTGTGAAATATATATTTTTTTCTTTTTTAACAAAATATATATCTCTGCTTTTCACATTTAAGGAAGAAAAGATCCTGAAAAATTTACTTTTACTTTTTAAAAAATATCCTGTCTATATCATATTGTTTCCAAAATGGTAATGGCAATCCTGTGAGTATTAAATCAGAGTAAGTATCTTCATACTGTAATCAATATTCTGTTCATTGAGGCTTTACAAGTAACTTTAAAATACTTCTGCAATGATTTCCAACATTGCTACATTCCCAGTAAACACTTTGCGAGTGAAATCATTTCTCAAACCTTATCAGACTAGGTCAAACAAACACCACTGTTTCTTTTTTCCAGCACTCTACAAAAATTCTTGAGTAGCATGTAAACAGGGCACAGCCAATATGGTATTTGCAATAGAGTACTGTCAGTCATTAAAAGCTAACAAACCTTTGCAAAGCAGGAATGCAGCAATAGAAATCCATTGTACACTAACAATAGGCCCCTGAACCTCCCGGCACCAAAAGCAGACCATTTTACTTTTAAGGCTATTGTCTGCAAAGTCCATGACAAAGCTTTTCCCCTGCAGCTAGACAAAATATTCACTGTAGTGTTCTCATAAAGAAACAGAAGTCTTCTGTCTAAGTTGCAGAGTTAAAGCAACAGCCGCCAGATTTCTGAAACCTGCAGAACATTCCTGGCCTCTTTATTAAGTAGCATAAAGATATAAGGCTTAGCACAAAGTCACTTTTTTCAAGGACCTGATTTTTAGCATACACTACAGAAAAAAGAGTAACTTCTTTAAGACCAAGTGATTTGGAAAATGTCAGAAACATATGTATCTAACTCAGGGTTGTTATGTCTGTAGACAAATAGACACTAATACTTACAATTTGCATGAGTATATACTTAAAATTCAGATTCAAATATTTATTGAGCAGCCTATGTACTAGGAGCTATGCTAAATGTTTTTACCTGTATTTTCTCATTTAATCATAGCAACCAACTGAAGATTTAGATTGTGTTATTACATCTATTTCTTTTTTTTTTTTTCCCTCCTTTTTGTCTTTTTTACTGACCAGTAACGGGATCGCAACCCTTGGTGTTGTGCCCGCACCGCGCTCAGCCAGTGAGCGGGAACCAGTCTCCACATGGGATCCGAACCCTCAGCGCGCCGCGCTCCCAAGTGGTGCACTCTCCAGTGCGCCACCGGGCCGGCCCATTACATCTATTTCAAAGGTTAAAAAAAGAAAAGAAGCACAAACAAAAAAAAGACTTTTCTGAGGTTTCATAAAAGGTAATGGGCAAAATTGAGGTTTGTTCATTTTGGGGTTTTTTTTTTTTTTGATTAACCAAAAAGTATTTTATTGTAGCTTCATAGAACTTGATGCTTTTAGACATTTAGAAACTGTTTAATTGATAACAACAACAGAATGGCTAAGACATAGGATGGGTAACAAAATCAACCCTTGTTAAAATGAAGTATTCATACTTCCTAGCCCTTATTCCCACCCCCTCACCTTTCACTTATACTCCTTATGTTATTTTCCTGCAACTTCTTCTCAAGTTTAGTGTTGTCTCTTGCCTTCTGTAGTCAGCATTAAATCCATTTTATATATATATATATATATATATCCTTCCCAGTCTCTTATCAAATGTGGTGGTTTTTTTAAACTTTATAAAAAGTATTTAGTATGGCATACTTTTGATCGTTTATAGTCTCTACTCATCCACACTTCAAAGGTGATGACTATGCTGGCAAAATTGAGGTCTTTGACTAAGTTTTTTTCCCTACAAATTCTCAATTCTCTTACCAAAAACAAAATGATGAGAGCTACTGTCTTGAGGGCTAAGTGCTAAGCAGTATACCAGGTCCTTTAAACATGGTATCTCAAACTTCTCCCAATAATCTCCTGATTTAGATATTGGTACATTTGTTTCATCATTTAGGAAATCAAAGCTTAGGGAGACACCATGACTCACCCAATATGGAGTTAAATTTACCTACTGGATTCTGAAGTCTTAGCTCTTTCCAGAACACACAGTGCTATGTTTTGGATGAGTCTCCCCAAAAGCACATTGGAAACAATCCCCAATGCAACAGTGTTGAGAGGTGGGGCCTAATGGGAAGTTTAGGTCAGGAGGGCTCTACCCTCATGATTGAATTAATGCCAATTATAAAAAGGCTTCAGGCTGTGAGTTTGATCTCTTTCTTGCACGTGCTCTTCCATTTTCCGCCATGGGATGACACAGAAAGAAAACCCTCACCAGATGCCTGCACTGATACTAAACTTACCAGCCTCCAGACTGTGAGAAACACATTTCTTTGCTTTATAAATTACCCAGTCTTTGGTATTCTGTGATAGCAACACAATATGGACTAAGACACACACATTCCCTCCCTTCATCTACAAAACAATCCTGGATAGTAGGAAAAACTATTGTTATTAACTCCATTGGATAGACGAAGTAAAAACTTATAAGATAAATTGACTTTTATAGGGAAACACGTGTGTATGAGCAGCAACTGTGGGATTAAAAGGCAAGATTTTTTTATGGTTCTCATTATCGTCAGAATGTAGTCCAACTATATGACCTTGCACTTTAGGATTCTAGACAATTTAATGAAAATCTATGACCCCATAGCAGAGACATATGATGAAATGGCTCATTTTTTTGAGAGAGTGAAAGGAATACTGTGCAATAAGTCAAACACCCTGGGTTCTCAACAAGACATTGACACTGACTAGCTGGGGTGGTGGTCGGGTAAGGGAGGTGAACATCACTTTACTTCCTTCACCTCTCTATCTGCCAAAAACTTTCAAAATGGAACATAATGCTTCTGTAAAACAAAGAGCTTCAAGTAAATCCACATCTAGTGTTCTACCAACTGGCACAATTTCAATTTATTTCCATTGGTAGTTCTTGAAGATTTCAAGAAGTGATCTCACAATAACGAGCACAATGAATGGATATGTAGCAATGATCAAATTTCTCTGAAAATAGTAAATACCCCGTAGAAAATTCATGAATAGAAATGTAAAAGATCAAAGGCCAAAATCTCAGTATTTACAGTGTACCTGTTCTTTAATGAAGGAATATGCATAAAATGAAATTTGATACAATTGTGTAAGTGCTGCTTCACTGCTTATGGAGTAGAAGAGATAGCAGTTATCTATTAAATATTTAATTTTCTAAAATAAGAAATTTTTAAAACACACATAGAATTATATCTTGTACTATGAATATGGTACATTATGTGTATAGCTATTTGGAAATGTTCAAATTCTGGATTATCTATACATCAAGTCAAGATGTATCTTGTTATTAATTTAAACACTTTTAAAGATTCTGTCTTCTGAAACTTCATACTCCCAAGCACTGGAGTATCCTTTCAAAATAGCAACAGGACTCCCTATATTAAAATAGGTGTGAGAGTTAATAATTATTTGCACAGCATTTCAGCTTACATAATGCTATTAGATACAACAATTTTGTCAGTGGTATATATAGCTATTATATCCATTTTGCAATGAGGAAATAAAGGCTCAG